ATATTGGTTTCGCAGACCAAACGGATGTCATAACTTTCTTTAGTTTATTTAATCGAGCCTCACTCTCAATTCTTGTGTTCATCCTTCAGGATAGATACAAAATTTGAGATAAAGTGCTCTTTCACCTAAACTATGAAAATTATGGGGTCTGTTTGACTTCATCTTTTTCAAAATTAAATTTTTTTTTTTAAAAAAAATGTCCTTCCGAAACGGGCAACGGGATTTCAATTTCGATGACCGACAGCTTCTTACGGGCAAACCCTACACAAAAAATAGTGCCGACAGACGTTGTTGGGGATATCGGGGATTTAAATCTTCTAGTAGCGGGATCAAATTCTTGTATTTTTAAGCATATATAAAGTCGATGTCAGTGACCCAAGTTTGTAATTACACTATTATCCCTCTTTATTCATCATTTAGAGGATATTTCTTTTTTTCCTAATCTTGAATTATTAATAAAACTACCTCTCTAACACAAACAACTGAATGAGCTCAACTTTCATAAATTGTTCGACTACCGACAAGACAATTAGTTTTTACTTCTAGTTGTCGGTTGCCTGATTTCTTGTTAACATCAATTTTTTATGTCGCGAGTGTAGGATATCTGCTTAAGCATTATCATATCTTGTTCGATGCATGTGTTGATTCCCGTACTGCAAGACATCCATTTGGGACCCTCTGACACGTGTTGAGGGGCACATTGTCGGGATCATTTTGTTAGAATTAGGTCATCGCTTAGGCAAAGACATGTCAGCATTTGTTAATTAAACATCTTTGAGTAAGCCAACATATCTCATTTGTCATTTCGTGCACAAAAGTTGCTTAAATTTGCTCGTCTGTCAGCAAATTTTTCTAAACAACCTCAAATGTCCAAATAAACCCGCGAGAGCATCATGAGTGTTGATTTTACCTAGGGACGACACACGTTTCAGTATGAATTTGTGCACGAGCCAACAACACACAAATCAAGGTATATAAGTTAAAAAAAATAAAAACTATATGTATAAAAAAAGGATAAAACCTCTTTCACAGCAAATAAATGGGGAAGGCCCGATCCATTTCACGTGTGATGCCATAGGCATCCCTTTTCTTCTTCGTGAAGTCGCCGATAGGCTGCTCCCTCATGCTCGCACCGACAACCCGCTTGCTGCTCCCTCCAGCGAGCCCTCCATCCTCTCTTGCTGGCGGCATTCGCCACTGGACCTCCCTAGTCCTGCTGGCGGCATTCGCCACTGGACCTCCCTAGTCCTAATCGCCGGCCACCCTTGTAGCCGCCACTCTCTCATGCAGACGAGCCCCAGCAGCCCAAGCCAACCACGTGTCACGCTCCTCCTCCTCCTTGTCGTGGCGCTCGGTTCTTTTCTTGCATACTTCTCCCCACCGGTGAGTATCCCGGAGTCTATCCCTCTCCTATTTGGGGATGCCCTAGCCAACCTCCTCTTTCAATTTTTCAGCACGTGCGCCGCACTTCATCTCTCCGGCAAGCCTTCGCGCCTCAGTCTCCATTAAAAGCTAGTTGGGAGGTAGCAGCAGGATCTACAGCTGAAATCGCAGCTGACAAGCTTCCCTTCGACGACCAATGTTCCCTCTCTCGGACAACGGTCCTGTCATCCGCTTCCTTTCATTGTGTCATGACTTTAGCCACCGGTGACCTTGCTAGTCCATTTCTCTCTCAGTTGAAGTCGTGTTGCTACCTTCGGTGAACAAAGCCACCACCAGTAACCTTGTTGGTGTTGAAAAGCCTCTCTCACGAAGGTACATTTCGATCGCATTGTCATATACTATGATATTCATTTCAAATACTTGCATACCTCCCTCGCACTTTCACTCATTTTTTGCATGTCCTGCGAGGTACGTAGGCATGTGATATGGATGCTGACAATCCGGACAAGCAAAGAGCATGCTTCATCATTCTCTCTGACGATGAGAGCTTCCTCATCACTTTAAGGAAGGACCTGAATGTGCTTCTCTCCTACAATTACAAGAGCTTCATCCGGAACACTAGTGTGGGACTTTGATCAACCATCGCGAGAGTATAACAACCCCAAAACTTGAATTTTCTTTCTTATCCAGCCGTAGGATTTGATTTAAGCTAGGCATTGTGGATCTGACCATCCACACGAGGTGAGTTAGCATGCCAACCCTAGTTGGCGTGGCCATGCTCCCTTGGATTGGTCATTGATTTCTTAGTGGAAGCCCTAGGTTAGAAATCATGTGTGTGGTTGAAGCCTACGCGAAGTCGAGCGATTTCCCTTTGAGAGCCCTATACCTAAATCCTAATGGGTTGGAGTATCAATTCCTCCTTGTTTTGGCATTCCCCAACCTTCCTTGAAAAGGTTGGGATGTTTGGACTTTACAAAGTGAGAAAGTTTTGTAGCTAGCTCACCTTCATGAGGAGTTGTGAATTGGAAAAAGTTTTGTAGCTAGCCCATTCCACAACATCATGGAGAGTCTCCTTTTGGGAGAACCAAAAGTAAAGTTTCCCACACACTTCGCCAAAGTCAGAGGCAGCTATATCACATTTCCATGTGTTAAACACTAGATGCCCAAGTGAGGACGTTAGCAAGAGCATGGTTTATTATCGAGTATGATCATTTTCTTTGAACTGTGTCATGTGTGTCTTGCTTAAAGCATGTTGCACTTGCACGTTACCTTGACCGGCCACCCCGGCCTAGTCGACCAACCAGTTTGGTCCAACCAGCCATCCTAGTAAGGTCGACCGACCATTTGATTTTGACTGGCCTCTTCGCCCAGTCAATGGATTACTTTGGTCAGACCAACCACCCTAGCCCATTTGGTCAGACCAACCACCCTGGCCCAGTGACCGACCACTTGGGTCCGACCGGCCACCCCGATCTGATCGACTGATCAAGTAGGTTTGACCGACCACCCCGACCCGATCAACGTGTCACTTGCATAGTGTATGTTGTGCATGTGCATCAGTTTGTTTGTTTTCTTTCATTATGCAATATACCCTGTACGTGCTTTCCATTTACATGTGCTTGATCATTATTGGGGAAGGTGTAGTTTTCCTTAGTGGTGTCTGACCAAAGGAAAATATGTTGAGATTTTCATACATATTTTATACTAATATTGATGATATTGTACTTTAAAGAAGGGTATTTTTTATGTTTCATTGCATGTATGTTGAATTATGGTCATTGAAGCAAAAAGATGCAAAAATGAGTGAATTTTGAGCAAAAAGCATCAAAATATGAAGATTTGAACTAGGGCGCCGACAACGGTGCCATCGAGGCCGCCGACGGCAAGAACGGTGGGTGTCTTAATATGGGGGATTGGTG